GATATCACCACAGTCTGTTCAATGCTCTTTACTGGCTCAGTAATCACTTACCTTAATGTTTCTTACAATACAGGGTAGTCATGGTATGTTATCTAATAACTTCCTACAAGAAATAACGCTTCTAAAACTATCACAACTCTCTAGCACTAAAACTTGAGGGGTTACTTATACTTATTCTATTGGTCCTAAGAACAACCACAATGAAAGAGTGAACAGCCAGTAAGTCAAAAGTCAGAAAGTTCTGTTTTCAGGTACTCACAACTTCCTTTGTTACTCCTAAGAATAGCCATAAAAAGCTAACAGCCAATGTCTAAACTTGGAAAGTCCTATTTGAATGTTTGCACAGTCTACACAATGATAAAATATTTCAGGCACTGGTAAGTCACAAGGACTGACTAACTTCAAAAGCTAACTGTAAAAGCCGTATTAAATCTTCATTACCTTGTAATGAGGGAGAGAGACTTTGCAGAACATTAATTTGAACTTCTGACGGAGTCAAATATCATTCAATGATGGAGACATTCTGCAAAATGTATCATTAGGTGATTCCCTCACCATATGACTATGATAGAGTATACTTTATGAAAGCCCAGACACTACAGCATTCTGCAGACTGAAACTATATAGTGTATACCCCCATATAACTCTTCCTACAAGAAATATAACAAAGAACTGACAGGGCTGGAGAGATGGCTCAGCAGTTAAGAACACATATTGCTTTTGCAAAGGAACCAAGTTTGATTCCTAGTACCCACATCTGGTGACTCACAACTACCTGGGGATTCCATCCCCTCCCCTGGCCTCTGCCAGCACTTACTTTCACTGATGTGCACATACTCACACCCAGACACATAAATACACATAATTAAAAATAAAAACAGTGACCGGGCAGTGGTGGCGCACTCCTCTGTAGCCCCAGCACTCAGGAGGCAGAGGCAGGGGGATCTCTGAGTTTGAAGTCAACCTGGTCTACAGAACAAGTTCTCATAACAGCTGGGGCTACACAGACAACCCTGTCTCAAAAAATAAAATTAAAAAAAAATTAAAAATAAATAAAAACAGAAATCTTAATTTTTATTACTTAACTGTTTGTTTTTAAAAGAGAAACTAAGGACTGGGGAGATGGCTCGGCTGTTTAGAACACCAGGTTGCTCTTGCAGAGACTCTAGTTTAATTTCCAGCACTTATTTGATGGCTTGGCTTACAACCATCCAAAACTCCACTTCCAGGGAACGACACCCCCTCTGACCTTCATGGGCACCAGGCACAAGTATAGTATATATACATACATGCAGGCAAAGCATTCTTATACCTAAAATAAAATCTAAAAAGAATTTTTAAAAGAGAAAGAAAGGCGCTGGAGAGATGGTTCAACATCTAAGAGCATCAGCTGCTCTTCCAGGGGACCTGAGTCCAATTCCCAGCAACCACATGGTGGCTCACAAACATCTATAATGGATCCGATGCCTCTGGTATGCAGGGGTATATACAAATACAGCACTCATATACACAAAATACATGAATAAATTTGTTTAAATCTTTAGAGAGAGAGAGAGAAAATAAAACTATCATTATTCTACCAATAATATGTAGGGCTACTTGTATTATTGCTACAAAAAAAAAAAAAAGCCCCCACTGGAAACTGAATCACTACATACCTAAAATCGGAACGTTCTAATCAAATGTATATTCACTTATTGTTACTAGGAACAGCCATAAAAATTCAAATCTTTTTACCAGAAAGTCATAATGTGGCACATAATTTCACTGCTTTTAAACTCTACATGAAAATATAAAAACAAAATGAAAACGAGTTAGGGCTGCAACTGAGGTGGAACACATGAGGCTTTGGTTCAATCTCACCCAAAAACAACAACAACAACAACAGACAACAGAAACTTCGTTCATAAGGAAGGCAACACTACTCTCTACCTCTTTCTTCATGGCGATGTGGCAGTGCACCATGCACCACTGTCCCTTCTTCTACACAGCACTGAGGGATCCAAGCCAGGGCTTCATGCGTGCTAGGAAAACTCCACCATAGTCTTCGCCATTTGGGTTGGTTTTCGGAGGGGGTTGGTTGGTTTTTGTTTGTTTGTTTTGTTTTGTTTTTTTGAGGGGGCTATTTTGTTGGTAGGTTTTATTTCGAAATAGGGTCTCATGTAGCTTAGGCTGGTCTGGAACTTGATACGCAGCCAAGGACAACCTTTAACAACTTCTGATCCTCCCGCCTCTACCCCCACCTCCTCAGTGCTAGGACTGCAGGAATGTGCCCCAATTTACGCAGTGCTGGGGCTCAAGCTCAAGGCCTCATGCATGTTAAACACACTGGCAACTAAGTCATATCCTCAGCCCACATCCTTTGTTGTTGTCCCCAGGCTCTGTTCTCTGGCTCTGTCTGGCCAGGAACTGGCTATATAAACCAGGCCGGCCTTAAACTTCCAGAGATCCACCTACCTCTTACCTCCCAAATGCTACGATTAAAGGTGCACACCACGATGCCGAGCCCACACCCTCATTTTAAAAAGCAGTTTTATCATTCCGAGCTGTCATACTGGCAGGGAAGTCCAAACAGCACGATATATTATTACTAAGAATCCTTCTTCTGTCAACACTACCTGGTCAATAGTATAGTCTTTTTAACAGGCTAACAGGGAGCCAAACCCCTTCTTTTGTGGTACTGAAGATGGAACCCAGAGCGTAGTACATGCATGCTAGGCAAGTGTAAGCCACGACACCAGTGCTGTTGAAAAGAAATGAACTAAAATAAGGTGACTAAAATATCCAAAAGAAAATAAAGCTACCAATGTATCTTCAAGCACTTGGGGTTTTTTTGCTTTTGTTTGTTTCAGTCGATTATACCTCAAGCTGGCCTCAAGTTTGCCAAACAGGCCAAAGAGGGCCTTGAACTCATGATCCTTCGTCCAGCCTCACAGGTGCTGGCATTAAGGCTCAAACTATCACACCAGTTTGCAGTGCTGGTGACTGAATGAGGTTTCATATCAACTAACCCACATTCCCTGCCCATCTTTGAAGATTTTTTTTTTTAATTACTGTTTTGGAATCGTGTCTATATGTCACCTATGTTCAAGTGCTCCATACAGAGCAGAAGAGGGCGTCATATTCCCTGGAGATGACGTTCCAGATAGTTGTGAGCCATCCGGTGTGGGTATTGGGAACTTAATTCCAGTTCTCTAGGAGATCAGTAAGTGCTTGTTTAACCACTGGATGGGGATTTTTTTTTCCTTTTGTAGCTCAGGCTGGCCTGGAAATCACACAGACCCACTTTGCCTCCTGAGTGCTGGGCATGTGACACCACCACCACCCAGGGTTGTTTTGTTTTGTTTTTTCTTCTTAATTAAAGAAAATGTTATGACAAAGATTCTTACTGAAACACATCTGAAATCACACTATCAATAAAAACACTGCATCCAAATCTAGTTCAGAGGAGGAAAAAAAAACACCATCTTGTTGAAACCACTCTTCCTGTCACTTTAAAATCTACACGGATTTTTATTAAGCGGACAAATGAAACTATAACCCAATAATCTTAGCCTTAAAGAGTTACTTATTAACTTTCAAGTAGACTGCTGTGAACTAACACTTCCTGAAGTTCACCAGCCATCTTTACTAAATGAAGTGGGGCCGAGGTTTGAGGCAGTACTCATTTGCTACTTGGACACCACAGAATGAACTCCATGCTCAAGCTTAAGAGAGAAATGGCTTTGGGCTCTGTCCCTTCCACAAAGAGCATCCAACAGCAGTCTCTGCGCTTCATAGGTGTTCGGCGATGTTTACCCACCAGGAAGACATTAGGTCCCTCCCCTAAAGGTCAGAGCTCTCTCTGGCTCGTACAGATTCTCAAGACCCTCAAAAGCACACACGCAGAATTACTTCTACGAAATAGAAAGCTAGGCCTCAAAACACACCCCAACACCTTTACAGAAGGTGTTTCTCACTTTCAAAGAAGATGAGAAATAGGGCCTGTCAAGCAACAGAAAATTGTAAACCAACTTCTCTCAAAACCCCACATCTCAAGCGCACTGTCTACAAAGCTGGTGATAATGATTGAAAAAGTTACCAATAGTGTCCGTGGAGCGGCAGTCACCAACGTCTTTCACCTGAGTCAAGAGTTGTGTGCCTAATCTTACCAGTAGGATCAGCTGCTCTGCCTGGTGACTCGAGATTCATTCATTGCACCAGTATTTTATTGAGCACGTATTATACGCTAGGTCCTCTAATAAAGCATTTACATTTTTCTTTTTTCTTTATGGCGGGCGGGGGTACCGAGCATTGAACCACTGGGGGCCTCCGGCGTGCGAGGCAAGTTCTCTGCCACTGAGCCTCACTCCCAGGGCCAGAACGTTTCAATTCTGAGCTCCGCGCATCACCACCAAACTCCTCCGCGAAAGGTTATCAGCAGCAATCACTGCTGCTGAAGAGGAATTCCCGGGGTTACGCGAAATCAGCCGGCCAGGGGCTGCTCCACAGCTCGGAACGCGACGTCAGCGAGCCGCTACCTACCACACCCGTTAGTAATGCTCACCACCACCACCACCACCACGGCTGCGAGCTCCCGGTGCAACAACCTGTAAGAGTCGCGGCGGCGACTGCGAGGCGGCGGCCCGGCTTCCTCTCCCGGGGTCCCCGGCAGGCCGGGCGGGAGTCGGGGTCCGGGAGCCCGGCCGCTCCGAGCCGGTCTAGACTGGAGGGGCAGCGGGCTGGGGGAGGGGTCCTCCGCAGAGCCTCCCCCGTCGGAAGGGTACAGGCTACGGTGGAAGCCGGCCTCCCAGAGAATGAAGAGCACCACACGCCGGTCCTCGCGTGAGGACCTCACCCAGACCTGGAAAATGGAGCCGCCGCAGCCGCAGCCCCAACCCGCAGCCCCGATCCGCAGCGCGGGGAGGCCCGGGCCGCCCTCACTCTCAGCCTTCCGGACGGCGGCTCTGTACTTGGCGCCTCTGGCCGCGGGGCCACCGCGGGGCCCTTTCCACACTCACCGTCGCCTTTGTCTCGGTCGCCAGCTCCGGCCGCGCGGCTCCGAGCGCCCGGCTCCGCCGCTCCTAGGGTCTCCACACACCGCAGCTGCACTCCCCGCTTCGGGCTCCGCCCTCCCGCCCAGGCTCGCGCGCGCAGAGGCGGAGCCACAGACGGTGTGTACGGCTGCGCGGCCACGCCCCCACCGCAAAGACCCGCCCTGACCCCCCAGTAGGCGGGCTGGATGCTGCGAGGCCCCGCCCAGTGAGGGGGCGGTGAGCCCCCCCCCCCCAAGGGGATGCCAGGCGCGCGCACAGAGTGACCCGCTGGGTGGGCGGTGGGGAAGATGGAGAACCCGGCCGCGGGCCACAGCCCATTCCCATCTAGATGCGGCAAATGGACGCGCCTGGCAAGCGGGGGCGCTGCCGGGCAAGCAGGGGCGCTGCGGGGCAGAGCTGGCCAGCACCAGGTGTCTCTCAGCTGGTAGCAGTTGAGAATTCTTTGCCTCAAACCCTCGGTCACGTTACTTTTAAGGAATCAGAATCACTGACTCACTGGCGGGCATAGAGACAAGAACATCTATGTACCTGTCATTTGAAATATGTGAAAAGTGTCCAGTGACTTCTTGTGGAATCATTTTTTGGTTTGGTTTTGTTGTTTGAGACAGGGTCTCTTTGTGGCCCCGAATGGCGTCAGACTCTCTAAGTAGTTAAGACTGGCCTGGATCTCGTGATCCTCCTGCAGCCTCCTCCCAAATGCTGAGATTACAAGTGTGTGTCACACATGCCTAAGGTCTTTTGGGGTAGAATCCTGGCTGACTGGAATTCACAGGAGTCCTCCCGCCTCAGCCCCCACATTCTGCTTTATGACTACATTAGTTGTACACTTTATGTACCCAGAAGCAAGAAAAGAGTGGAACGTCTTTCACTTGAAATCTAGCAAGACATTCTCAGAGATGGAGCCAGCTGCCCATCGCGATGGATAGGCATTTTCTAGCAGTTCAGTCTCAAAACGGGAGTACCGCTTGGTTCCTCTCATTCTCATTTTTATATCCATTCTGTCAATAAGAGAAGTTGGTATGGTTCAACGTTCAAAATAAACCAAAATAAGACAACTTTTCACCTACATTGTTTCTGTCATCCGTGGCCCCAGTCATACTTCAGCGGCCGTCTTAAGTGACCCCCCTGGCCACCATCAACCCAGTTTGTTGTCAAAACAACAGGGAGAATATCCTCCCTCAAGGAGAGTCAGCTCATGTCTCACCTGATCAAAATCCACCAGAGCTCCAGTTACTGTAGAAGATAAGATCTCACAGTGGCTAACAAAGTCCCTGGGATTTGGTTTTTCATTGTAGGTCTCAGAATTCATCTCCAACTGCTGCTTGCATATTCCAGACTGCTACTCAGGGACTGGGACATTCTTTAATGTCTACCTTCACTCCACAACTCCACTCAGATCTCCCTTAGCAATGACACTTAGTCTAAATATACTACTTTAAATTGCTACAGGCTCAATCCTTCCCATCTTGCCCCTGTTATCTTCTCCCGGGAACAAGCTTCACAATTTATTTCATACTTTTGTTTTTGTGTGGCTATTTTTCTTGAGTAGAAGCTGGGTATTTGGGTTGGCTGGTTTTAATTTCTGCAGTGGTGTGGTCAGAACCCAGGGACCTGCTCTTGCTTGGTGGATGCTACCCCGAGCTACATATGCAGACCTTTGAGGTTGGGGATGGCTGTTCTAATCAACTGATGCATCCCAAGCACCTAGAGAAAATGAAAAAAATTAAACATCCCCAAGATAAGAGCAAATTTAAAACAACAAAAACAACCATTTTTATTTTCCACTTTTAGCCTGTCAACCAACCATTAGGTCTTAACTTACATCATCTGGGCTTCCCAGTTCTTCTATGTTCAGTAACCATTTAATTGACATTTGATACAATTTTTGGCCAGTGACAACCTTGTATTCTATTTCACTGAGTAAGAATAATGTGATAGAGTAAAGAAATTTTGATATAATACTTAAAAACACATTGTTTCAAGAAACTTCCCTAAGGCAAAAAAAAAAAAAAACCCAGAACTTCCCAAGTATCATACATGTGCTTGCATTGCTCTTGCCATGCAAATGTGGTCACCTTAAACAATATTTTCTACTACTTATCTATAAAAGGTAACAATACTTATGGGAATGGTTACAGATTATTTCATACTTTTATAAAAGTGTGAGGCCAGGTGATGGTGGCACACAAATTAATCCCAGTTTTAGGGAGGAAGAGGCAGGCAGATCTCAGTGAGTTCAAGGCCAGCCTAGCTTACAGAACAAGTTCCAGGACAATCAGGGCTACACAAAGAAACCCTGTCTTGAAGAAATAAAAGAGTAAATAAAAATAAATAATAAAAGTCTGTTATTGAACAGTATTTAGTTTTAGTTGCTAGGGACACCATTCTGATTAATTAGATGATGACTGTGGTGTTGTTGTTGTTGTTGTTGTTATGGTTTCTTGAGACAAAGTCTCACTATGCATAGACTTGACTGGCCTGGCACTCACTTTGTAGACTAGGGTGACCTTGAACTTGTGGCAATCCCCCTGCCTCTGCTTCTCACATGCTGAGAGTAAATGCATGGACTTAGCTTAGATAATACTATTGTTTTAACAGTATATATGCATGATAGTTTGCTCAATATTAGTAGCAGTCTCTTTACATATTTAATTTAGCCTTCATGATTGAAAACAAAACTACAAATTATACCTTATGATTCACATTTTTTTAAATAAAGTTAAGTTTTAGGCCAGGCACGATGACATACATCTTAAATTCCAACAAATCTATGTGAGATCAAGTACAACCAGTCTGTATAGTGAAGCTGTATAGCTAGGGCTACACAGTGAGGCCCTGTTGGGGGAGGGAGGTTAAATTTTGCTCTTCTTCTTCTTCAAAAATAAAAATCAATTAATTTCATCATGTCAAAATACAGGTTGTAATTCTTTTTTTTGTTGTTGTTGTTTTTTTTTTTTTTCGAGACAGGGTTTCTCTGTGGCTTTGGAGCCTCTCCTGGAACTAGCTCTGTAGACCAGGCTGGTCTCGAACTCACAGAGATCCGCCTACCTCTGCCTCCCGAGTGCTGGGATTAAAGGCGTGCGCCACCACCGCCCGGCTACAGGTTGTAATTCTAATAATACCAAAAACTAAATTTTCTGGAATCAGAGACAGGATGTGTCTTCACTGTCTTTAAGACTGTTCCCAAGTACAATCTTGTTCCCAAAGAAGGACAAGGACCGAAAACAGACAGGACCGTTCTTCACTCGCAGGGTGGCCTGCCTGCCTCTGAAGATACTGATAAGCAGCCCAGCTGTTGAAGTACAAAAGGAGCTGTCTTGCGCACTTCCTAATCCACCACAAGTGGAAACACCAAGGACAGCAGGAAGCAACACGTTGGCCAAACCAGCTCCTAATCACTTCTGAGCTCACATAGCTGCCACGTTGGCCTGATTCTGCAATCTTACTAAACTGAACAAATCTTCTTTTGAAGAGCTCGAAGCTGGGGTTGGGGAGATGGCTTCATGGGGGAAAGGACTTGCTGTGCAAGCACAGGAACTGAGCTCCATCCCCAGCCCCGTGGAAAAAGCCTGTCAACCCTGCACTGGGAGGCAGAGACAGAAAGAATCCCTGACTAGCCCAGTCAGCAAGTCCCAGGTTTAATGAGAGACCCTGTCTCTAAGCAGAATGGAGAATGATGAAAGATATGTAATGTCAATCTCTGTCCTCTGCATCCATACACATCCAGACACTGCACATGCATGCATGCACATCCACAACTCAAAGCAAATGAATTTTCTGACAAGTGTGCTATTTATATTTTTTAAACTGCTTTCCAAAACTTGATAGCAGCAATATTTCCACATTTAGAAAGGAGATGGTGTATGGAATCAGAATCTGGAGTTCAATCCAGACTCAGGCGCATAATTAGCAATGCGGCTCAGATCAAAGCTCTTTCCAAACCTACGTTTTCATTTAATAGGACTAATAATGTCTACCTTGAGAACTGCTGTGGGAACTCACCGCGAGAACTCACAGGCTCAAGCTAAGTACCAGCAAGAAAATATTAACTATTATCACTATGCAAGCATCTAATTAAGCTCCTGGCTCAGAACAACACTGAGAAAAAGGTTCGTTAAAGGCACTGTGTGGAACTGTTTGAGCCCTAAAGATAGCAGAACCAATAAAATGAACTTCGCTGTGTATGTGCAGTTCTGGGAATTGAACTTAGGGCCTCTCACGAGCTAGGCGAGGGCTCAATCACTGAGCAAAAGAATGCTCTCAAAGAGGCACCAAAAGTCCTTCAACCGGACCATGTGACAGGCATAGTCCCGCACAATAAAGAAAAGAGAAGTAAGATTCTTGTCAGCCTAGATCAGCTGAATAGCTCAATATATAACTACGATCATAATAATGACCATATTTCTGAGGCCATCTCTAGTCCTGGCTTATTAACTATCTGTTATATCCAGCTTTAGTGATTCTCTAATATAGATAGCCACTCTCTAGTTAGGAGTATGTATAAACTGTTCAGGACAAAGATAATACTCCATCAATCTATGTAAAGTTACAGAAACTTAAGTAGCCTTTTTACTTTCTCCTCTTTTGGTACTAGGAATGAAGCCCGGGACCTCACGCTTGCTAAGACCTCTATCACTGTGTTGTATCTTCAGTCAAACAACATAAAACCTAGAGGCAAATGCCAGGCGGTGGTGGTACACACGGGAGGCAGAGGCAGGTGGATCTCTGTGAGTTCGAGGCCAGCCTGGTCTACAAGAGCTAGTTCCAGGACAGGCTCCAAAGCTACAGAGAAATCCTGTCTCAAAAAAACAAACAAAAAAAATCATAGAAGCAAATAGCAAACATCAGCCAGTTAGCTGACGGGATAATGGACACATGGCACACCGAATAAATCACGGCTTGAGAAGATGGAAAAAACTCAGAAAACGTGTGGAACTCAGAAAACAGTTTATACATACTCCTAACTAGAGAGTGGCTATCTATATTAGAGAATCACTAAAACTGGATATAACAGATAGTTAATAAGCCAGGACTAGAGATGGCCTCAGAAATATGGTCATTATTATATGTTATATATATGGACAAGAAACGACCATGTTGGAAGATATTTCCT